GGTGAGCAGCTCAGAGGGAGGCTGGCCGCGGGGCCCGGGCAGCAGTTCCACAGAAACCCGAGCCGGCCAGCTGCAAAGGGCGCAGGAAGGCCCGGGGCCGGCCTGGCGAGCGCTCCTGTGGTCAGGCCGCATCGTCCGCTGCCTGGGACGGGCTCGGACGGACACAGTGGCGGTCAGCTGTGCGGCAGAGACCGACGACACCGACGAGGTGTCCTCCAGAGCCGCTCCTCCCTGTGTCTGAGGACAAAGGCCTCCGCCGTTTCCTCCTGCAGCAAAATCTCTTGAGTGTAATTTCAAATTCAAATTAAATTCAGATTGAGAACTCAGCACCGAGGAGATTTTACAATGCAGGTCACAGACACTTGGAGTGTACCATGTCACAGAAAGCCGCATGACCAAGGTGACGTGTTTGATGCTATTGCTGCTTTTTATCCTCAAATACGTAGATACGCTCACTGAAACCTCAGGGAGCTAGAGGAACCAGTCCAGTCAATCAAAAATCGTTGTAACTCACCACTAGAAACCATTCAGGGCTTGCTGGGCCTGTGGATCCAGTTCCGAGCCGGCCAGGACCCTTCCGCCCCAGCCGGGGCACTAAGCCCACCACCCCGAGCGCCCTGCAGACCCAGGCGGCCTGGGAAGAGGCGGAGAGGCTGGGAAGCCAGTCACCTCTAAGCAGCCTACGTGCCGGCTGAGCTCTGGACTCCGCACGGACTTCAAGAACTCGCTCCCGGACACAGGGCTGCGTGCAGGCTGGCCTCTCCTCATCACGCACGGGGCCACGCTCGGCCGGCTTTCCCTCGGGATTTGCAGGGGGCGCTTCTCCCTCATTTCCAAAGCTGAGGCCACAGCAGCGACCCTGCCGCTGCTGGGTGGAGAAGCTGCACAAGCTGCACCAGCTGCACAGGGCGGGGGCAGCCCGGCCCCCTGCAGGCAAGACGGCCCCCGGTCGCCCGCCCTTGCCTGGCGTCCTGACTGTGGAGCCTGCTGTGTGGCCATGGTGCGGCCCCCTGCTGGACACACAGCAGCGCAGAGCCCGCCGGGAACAAGCCACCCTACTGGCCACTGGCCGCGCGGCCTGGTCACCTGGGACGTTACCTCAAATTCAAATTTAGAGCTGCCGAAGTTCGTCCGCTGCTTCTGCCAGAAGTTGTCGGGCTTGATGATGAGGGCCACGTGGATGCAGCAGGGGAAAGACTCCTGCAGGATCTTCAGCAGGGGCTTGATGGAGTCCCACTTGGAGCCACGCATGTCCACGATCACCGTGAAGCCGCGCTTGCACACCTCCTCGCTGCGGAGAGAGCCGCGTCAGCTGCCGCCCGCCCGGGGTCCCGCGCCCGCTGTGCTGGGTTGGGGGGGGGCTGAGGACGCTGCTCCACACACCCCTGCTGCGTTCCTGGCTGGGGGCCGCCCTCACCACATCCGCACCGGGGATATCTGCACCCAGGTGTCTGCAAGCGTCCAAGTGTTAACCTGGTGTTCAGAGGTTCGCCTCCCGCATGTCTGTCAAAGTCGCCCCAGTGTGGCCTGGGTCTCGGCGAGCCCGGGTGCGCGTCAGAGCTCATCTGCGCCTCGGAGTCGCCGAGAGCCGCTCTGTCCTCGCCGTGACCCCCGCGACACCCCTCTGCCCGCCTTCCGGGCAACTGCGGTGAGCCTGTGGTCCAAGGGCTTCGGTTGGACCTGCTCGCCTGCCCATCTTCCCCACATGCCACATGTGGGTGACATCGTGCCTACCTGATGACACACACTTGGGGAGCTCTACGTGCGGGTAGACCCCGAGTGACCTCACCAGCGAGTGCAGAGCCCGTGGGGTGTGCCAGGGCCCTGAGACTTCGATCCCCTGGGGCCCCAGCCGTGACCGGCACCAGCACCCTGCGGCAGCCACAGGTTCCGCGCCCTTTGCCTGTCCGGGCCCCTGAGCGTCTCAGCAGTTGCCAGGCGCCCGACCCTCCTCGGTGTACCTCTGGGGGGGCGCGGGGCAGGGGGGCCCTTTCACCGGGCTCCGCTGAAGGAGCAGTGGCGGTTTCAATACACAGAAGGTCGTTTCTCTTAAGACTGTCCTTGGGGGACAGTAAATGACCAGCTGGTGAGCGCCCAGCTCAGCGCCGGGCCCGTACGGCACTTCTGTGCGCACAGGTCAGGGGCTTCAGGGCTGCAGGCGGAGCTGTGGCGCCCGGGTGGCCAGGCCAGGGCCTCGGGCCGGGGCGGCCCCGGGGTCGCCGTCACCAGGTGGACCCCCCGTCCTGCGGCTGCTGGTGCTGGTGCCAGGCGGGAGCGTCTGGCGAGCACCCGGCGAGGGCGGGCTTGCACCCAGGTGAGCCGCGTCTCCCCCCAAGGAGCCTCCCTGAGAAACCTGTCGAAATTAGCTGAGAAAACCAGCTGCTGCCCCAGGCGACGCTACACCGCGCTGAATCCCTGCGGACTTGAGCCAACATCTGTCCACTCAGCCCGGTTCCGAGCCTCCAGGGTCCAGGGACCCGCAGGCTGCAGCCACACCCAGGGAGGGAGGCTGCGGCCTCAGGCCTGGGCGGGTGTCGGGGTGTCCTGGGGAGGGCTCAACTTCAGAGGGCGGGTGGAGACCTCAGGGATGGTTCCCCAACAGAGCGGCCCCTGACAGAACACGGCTCGGAACCCCGGCCTTCAGGCCGCCACACCCCGGCCCCGTGGGGGCGCCTCCCAGACACAAGCCCCCGCGGCCGGTCTCCTGGCGCTCTGGGGCCGCCGGAATGAAGCCTCCGGCCTCCTGGGCTCCGCTGGACGCGACCAGCGCACGAGTCCACCACAGGGAAGCTCCGGGGCCCACAGGCCTCGGGCTGCGCCAGCCCCAGCTGAGGAGGCCCCTGCTTCTTGTAGCTGCGGCCCGTCTCCGCGGGCGGGCGCCCCACCTGCCCCGCCGGGGGCTCCGGGTGGACGAGCCGGGCCGGCACGGGTCCGGAAGAGCCTGCTCCCCCGACTGCACACACACGAATGTGCACACACCGCAAAGCCCCTCCCTTGAGAGGGGCTCAGGAGCCATCCCGAGTCCCTGCAGCCTAACAACAGGAGCAAGGCAAGAAGACAGCCAGAGGTGCTCTCAGCTCGCTTCCCCGAAAGACTGAGCGCGAGTCTCCTCCAGGGACACGGGGACCTGCCACCTCACGGCTTCATCAGGCTCACAGCCGGCGGCGATCGAGAAGGCTGTGCGGGGGGGAGGGGGGGGGCCGGGGCAAGGCGGGGTGTGGGGACTCGTGGGGTCGCGCCAGGCTGGTTTAAAGGCCTCACACACCCAGAACCACACGATGCTAAAAGCCGATGTCGCTCAACTTGGAAAAGTCAAAGAGAAGTACTTGTGGGTGACGGCCGAAGGGCAGCTACCGTGCTCCTGCCGGGCAGTGATACGGGCTTGGAGAACCCCAAGAGCAGGGCGGGGCGGGGCGCCCGCACACCCAGGCCGCGCTGATGCTCACACGGGGGCGCCGTGAGGCCCACGCGCCCGCCCCAACCCAGCAGCCCTGACCGACAGCTCACCGCGCCTGTGTGAACAGGGAGGTTCGCAGAAAACAACGGCCTCTTCCCGGCAAAGGACGATGAGGCGGAGAACGTGTTTCTGCAGGAGTGTTTAGGGGTGAATCTGAAAAACCCTGATGCGACCTCATCAGTGACGGCAGAGCTGGTGGCCTGGCCGTCGGCGACCCAAACCACACTCGAGAAAGCGGCAGCACAGCCGTCACCACAGGAGGGGCCGGCCACACCCGGGGGCGCCGGGCAGCCGGGCCCAGCCAGGCCTTTTCCTCACGAGGTGCCCCCACCCCCGCACAGAACACCCCTCGGCAAGGGCCACGCCCCGGATCACAGCAGGGCCCTGCTCGACTTCCCAAAACGTAGCCAGTGCCCACCCAGCTCGGTCAGCAAAGCCTCCTGGCCCGCCGCAGCCTGGAGATAGGCCTGGCCGGGCCGGGCGTCCACTCTGCAGCCCCGTCACTCGCAGGCACCCTCTTCTGGGCCGAGCAGCTACTCCCACACCCGACGTCCCAGCTTCCTAGCTGGCAAAGACTCTAAAGACCCCCAACTCGACGCTGCAAACCAACAGAGTCCTTTCAAGGAAACGAAGCTCAGCAAGAAGACAGGGCCGAGCTACCGGGAACAGCCCTGCTTCTGCCTCCGGCTCCCAGTCTCGTCTCGGAGTCCTCAGTGAGGCCCCTGAGCCACACCCCGACTTCCCAGCCCTGTGGGCCCCCACTGGGTCACCCCCAAAGCCCTTCACTCACAGCACACCCTCTTGGGGCTGCGCCCAGGAATGCGGGGAGCACGCAGAGGCCACACCAGGGAAACAGGGAGGGTCTGCTCTCAGTCATCAGCCCTTCCCTAGAAAGTGCAGCTCTGCCTGTCCAGAAACAGCGAGAAACGCCACGTGCCCAGCGCGGGACTCACCTGGGGATGCAGGCCAGGTAGGAGATGAGCCTGCGGAGGTCCTCCTGCCGTATTCTGTCGTGGTTGCTGCGGGCTGGGAACGTGAGGATGGGGCCTCCGCGCTTGTCTCTGCCGCCTGGAACACAGACGGGCACCCTGAGGCGGCGCCAGGGCAGAGCCGCCCCTCCGCGCAGGGCCAGGGCCCGGGGCGGGGC